CATTCTAATTGTTCCTGAAGGTGTCCTTTTTTTGTGTTTTCTAGTGATGCTTTGAGGTCAATATACAATGTTTCCAGAATTCTGAGTATCAGATGTAATAATTTGGAACTTAGGACAAAAATAGGATAATGAACTGGCTCTCTGGAGAACAAAACAGATACCTGGATTATGCTGCAAAGCCCTCCCATGTCTTCTTCAGTGACCTATAACTTGACCTTCTTTTCTCTGCATCAGAAAATACTGAGATTAAAGTATTCCTGTACTGGAGTACAGGATTATACTGTAATGTAGGATTATTCTGCTAGTTTGGGAAAATAGGAGAGAATTAAAGAAAGCAGCAATGAATCAAACTCTTTGATTTCTAACTCTCTTTTAGACTGTTTCTGAAACACATTTACTGTTTAGTTTTTTTTTTTTTTTCCATTGCCTTTACTGCACAATGTGCAAGGGCTTCCCATTCATGTCTTGTACAGCAACTAACACTATTGGCTCAATGAACAAATGGCAGAAAACAATTCATTCATTAGTTTATTTGAGTCCTAGCCATATTATTTGTGATCTCTTTTCCCACGAGGATTAACAATAGCTAACATCTCAAAGGATTTTTGCTGGAGAAATAATTCAAATAATTGCAAATATTTGATGAGTAGATTCAGTACTACCAAAGTAAATTCAACTTTGTAACACATAAAGAATGTCAGGACCTGCCTGCCTGCTGGCCCTCTGACTTTTCTGCTCTGTGCCCATCCTGGGATAGTAAAGAGCCAGCCCTCAGAAATCACTTTTCTGTGCTGAGTTTAATGCCTTACTCAGACTCTCTAGCTGATTTTTGGTGTCCTGGGCAATTTGAGGTCCTTGACCCTTGTCATTCAGTAGTAATAGGTAACTCCCTGGTGTTTTGTTCCCAAGTCATTTTTACGCTCTGTTCCTAATCTTTGCAATAGAGAATCGTTTGAGTATCTCCCTTGCCTTCCCGAATGCACCGTGTCCACCTTTGCTGACCCATCTGTGCTCCCCATTCTGTTCACACAGCCCTTTCTGAGTCTGCATGCAATGCAGATCCATGACTTAGGTTGCATGGAAGTTTTGCATTTTCTCTCCTTCTTGTCATTCTTAATTGACTCCTCAGAGAATTTGGCTCTCTTTCTCATCTAATGAGCTTAATAGCAGCATCCTACCAGGAAGATAATTATCAAACATTTTTAGATTCAGGAAAAAAAATATAAGGGAGAGGATGGAATCCATTCACCAGGGACCTTGTTTGGATAAGCTGCATCTTAGTGACACCCATGTCCATAGGTAGACCCCGCGCCCACCCTGGCTGGACATGAGCTCTTGAGAGCAGGGGCCGTCTATGCCTCTTGTGTCCAATCCTGCAGCCCCAATTCCTAGCCCAGCACAATGTCTGGCTATGGTAGGCACTCAATAAATGCCTATTGAATAAGTAGATTTTTAAAAATTGGTTAACTTTTGGAAGTTGAAGATTGCTTATTCTCCTTCGAGAAATGATGTAAGTTTGTGTCAAAGAATATTGTGTTTTTTTCCCAAAACTTACCTTGTACTTAACCCTGATAATGTCAGAAACATGGTGAAATATTGATGGAGGTCACATGCTTCTTATCCTGTGGAGTGTTTGCATGGTCTACACAGTCTTCTTAGCATAAACAGCTGAGCATACTGTGTTCGGCTGAGCATTCTCTGATGGTTCAGCCTTTCTAATCTCTGCTGAAGCCATTGAGAGGCTGGCAGGTGATAAGGATGCCTTAATATCACTTTATTCTCTAACAATCAGATTGCCATGACACACTGATTTCCCTGAGCACTCAGATGACAGCAGCCCTGTGACTTCCAGAAAGTAATTCTGATGTGCAGCAATAGGGAAAGTGAAGGGTTTGCTCCCTTTCCCAAGTTAGCTGCTCCCTTAGAATAAAATAGTTGGGCCTTTCATACAAAGTAGGGTTTCTGAACCTCAGCACTATTGCTATTTTGGCTGGATAACTCTTTGTGGTAGGAGCTATCCCATACATTGTGGGGTGCATAGCAGCACCTCCTGCCTCTACTCACTAAATCCACTAGCACTGCCCCCATGGCCCCAGTAAAGGCCATAGAAATGTTTCCAAGCAATGCCAGACACCACCCAAGAGACAAAACTGGTCCTAGTTGTGAACCCCAGACATAGAAGGCTTTGTTGAACTGACTGCCAATGCCAGAAAGTAACTGGCTGAGGATGGCCTGGTATTTCCCAACCTTGGTAAAAGCATGGGGGCAGCTGTCATGGGTAGATGAATATAGATATAGATATTCAAGAGTTTCTCCCTAGTGTGAGCCAGTCTTCTAGACATGAATCTCAGTGTCCTTGTTAGCATGCCCCTGTATCTCACACCCCATCCCAACCTATAACAACTATTCCAACTTGTAAATGGCTCTTGTGCCTTCTTGGATTGATAAGGCTAAAATGCTAACTTTAAAGTCCCAGAGTGATACCAACATTTCTTGAGGTTCTGCTGTGTCAGCCACTCTGCTAACATATACATTATCTCATTTAATCTCGGCCACCTGGAGAGAGACGTTTACTATCCCTTTCTCACCAGTAAGGAAACAGAATCATAAATTTTCACAGCTACTTGGCAGAGTTTGGAATAGCAAGCAGATTTTCTGACTTTGTTAAATGATGTTTTTATCCCATTGTTCAAATCTAATCAACATCTACTTGAAATTTAATTTAATCTCTATCCACTTGAAATTTAATCACTATCTACTTGAAACTGTGGAGTCCTGGCTTGTGAATAAGAATCATGTTAGGAAAAACATGTATGCAGAGTCCTAGAGTCGTAGAATGTCAGAGGAAGGGGACTCTCAGACATCATTAGACAGTAACCACCTTAAGGTTATTTATTATTCTGTCATTTGACAAATATGTGTTGAAGCCTTACTCTGTGTCTGGGCCTCTGTATACCAGTCAAAACAGACAAGGTTCCCACCTTCATGGAACTACCAATAAGTGAGTCCAAAAACAAACACACAAGCAAGAAAATTACAGATTGTGTTAGGTGCTGGGAAGGAAATGAACAGTGAGAGGAGAATGATTAGGGGAGGAGGATCTTTCTTCATAGGGTGGTCAGTGAAATTGTCTTTGATCTTGTTACCTCTCCAAACACTGGACACATTGCACTTTCTCAAAAAATGTTAGTTCCTCTCTTAGAACAGTACCTGGCACAGGTGAGGTGCACCTAACTGTTAATTGTATGAAATGACCATGCTATTTTTTTCTCTAGCCTTATGGTATAAAAACCTATAGTAAGTGTATTAGTTTCCTTTTGCTGCTATAACAAATTACACCAAATTTAGTGGGTTCAAGCAACATAAATTTATTGTCTTACAGTTCTGGATGTCGGAAGTCCTAAAATCAAGGTGTCAGCAAAACTGTGTTCTTTTTGGAGGCTCCAGGGGAGAATCTGCTTATTTGCCTTTTCTCTCCTCTAAAGGCCCCCTGCATTTCTTGGCACATGATCCTATCCTACATCTTCAAAGCCAGCAGCACAGAATCTTCCAATCTCTGTCTCTCTGATTCTGACCCGCCTGCCTCCCTCTTTTAAGACCCTTTTAATTGCATCAGGCCTACCCATGTACTCATGGACAATGTCCTCATTTTAGATCACCTTTGGGAGACCCTAATTCACCCTATCACAGTAAGCAATAAATGTTAAGTTTATTCCTATGCCCATTTTGTTTTATAGATGAAAAGCTAGAAAAGTTAAATGAATTGCCTAAAATCACATGCTTGGATATGGCTTTAGAACCTGGTTACCCCATGTAGGTAGATCATTTCTATTTTCTCTGCATCCAAACTCTGCTCTTTTCTTTATAGCATTCACCACATTTACATTTCTTTATTTGTTTTGTTTACTTACTACCACAAAGTCAGGAAGCCAGATCACTTGTATTCACCAAGGTGCAGTCATCAAACAGCTCTGCACCTGATACAAAATGTGCACCTCTCTAAAACGTTTTTGAATGAAAGAATGAATACTCTATTATGTACTTGGGTAAAAAGAACCCAATCTCCCATGAGTTATCTCTGAAAGTTTAGAAGCCCTCAGTCATTTTTAAAGCATCAAAAGAAAAAGAGAACTGCAACGTTGGCCCATAATTCAAGTAGGTAAAGAAGGGACCTAAACCTGGCGTTATATTCTCTCCTTCTCTCCTGGTGCTGAACTTTCCTTTCTGGTGTGCTGCCAGGCACTCTGCATTTGATGTGGTAGTCTGTCTGTACCTAGAACTCTGACACTATTGACACTATTGACATGTGGTTAATATCGACAGTCTTTTGAAAGAGCTCAGGTTGTGTCTCAATGGAGTTTAATGTTTCTTTTGTATACGTACCAGGAATAGGTAATAGGTACACAGAATCACTTCATTATTTAATTCATGCTAAGAGGAAGAAGGAAGGCAGAAAACTTAACTGCATGCTTTATTATGTCATTAGGTTTTCTCTTTTGGGCCTTAGAGAAGTAAAAGAGGAGGAAAAACAATCACACTTCTTACTAAACAATGCAAGTGACACATTTATGCATTTACTGAACAAGCTGTATGGCACTTAAATGAAAAAATAAAAATAAATTAAAAAGTAAAGGTCCTTTCCAGCCCAGAAAATGAGTTCTTAGAAGTCTTAAATGAAAATACCTTATGCTAAACAACTACATGAAGGACAGCTAAATAAACCCAACACCTGCTATCATGGAAAACAAATTATATTTATATTATGAGGGTTCTTTGCTTGCTTCTCATTTTCCTTAATCTTGCTTAACGAATGCACTGTTTGGTCAAACATGTTTTACACCTGACATCCTTTTCTCTTAGGAAATAATATGCCTGCCACTCAAGATGCTATTGAAACAATGAGAAAATGTGAAGCCAAAGGGAGATGTCTCCTCTTTTAGTTTTGCTTGCAACACCCCACATTCTTAACTCCACTTGTAATGTATTTACTTTGGTTCTAGTGGCCAAGGATGTCAATATTCTTTTTGATGAATTAGAAGCTGTCAATAGTCCTTGCAAAGATGATGATTCTCTCCTTCACCCTGGAAACCTGACTAGTACTTCAGATGACACCAGCAGATTGGAAGCAGGAGGAGAGGTAAGAGTATATGATTTTTTTAAAAGTATAATTCTTGATCCAGGCAGGAACCTGTGAAACATGTTTCAACGGACTGTTTAAAGTCCTAATCTTATTTTTAACTGTAGGCTCCTGGAAAACAAGGGGTAGGTTTCTATATTCTTTTGATATCTTCCATGGGTCTAGCACATTGTTAAGGACCTTAAACCTACCAATGCTCTGAACAAATGTTCAGTGGGTTGTGCTACCTTCTTATATTTAAAGACATTTCCTTTATACAAAGGAAGATTCTTAAAAGCCACCCATCATTTTAAGATCATCTACATTCTAGGTGTCGCTAACCAGTAAAAAGTAAGCTTCACAAGGATGGACTTTCTTGTATAAATGTCCCCGCACATAAAATAGTGACATAAAATGCACCGGCATTTAGTAGATTGTGTTGTCTGAAACCTCTCTGAGTTTCCATTTGCCTCTGTAATCTGGAAACTTCACTGCGGTAATAAATAGAGCCATCCTTTCATGCCCCGTTGTGGTCAAAGAAGTATTTTGTTGGAGGCGTTCCCCGTTGCTCAGGTTGTAGCTCAATGGCCTTTACTATCTCCTTTGTACATGCGCTGGGTGTAGGTAATAGACTTACAGAGTCAGAGCAATTTATTTATTGCATATTCCTAGTGTTTTTGCTATTCCAGAGCCAAATAACCATTGAAAGGATGACACCTTTGAACTCGGGAAATTATTTACCTTTACCAAGCTTCACAGACCTCTTTGAACAAATACTATAAGACGCTATACATCTGTTTTTTTTTTTTTTTTTTTAAGGAAAAGCTCATTCTGCAATCAACTCTTCACACAGATACTTTGAAGGCTATCATGGGGTATAATGAAGGGACTTTAAAGGGACATCAGAAGTAGCTTGTCTCATGCCCTTAACTTACAGATGAGGAAACAGTCTCAGAAAGGTTAGGGTTTTGCCGAAGGCAGCTCAGGTCACTGTTCTGCCCAGGGACAACCTTCCTCCTGATGCTGTGGCTAAAGCCCTGTTTTGTTGTGTGTTTTTTTCTTAAATCATGTATACGAGTTTGTTTTTTATTTTTATGTTATTTATCATATGCCCATTCTAGTAGATATTTTGCCAAAAAGTATTCAGCGATAATATTTGCAAAGAGCAAGATACCATTCCCACCAGGTTTTCGTATTCACACCTATTTGAAGCCCTGGTGTTGAAGGCAAGTGCTGATGTGCCCAATCCACAAGACGGTCTTGCTGCTTGGCAAATAACTGTTAATTAAGTGTTTATTTGGGTGCCTGGGTGCACTCCTGGGTGCCTCTTATTGAAAGCCAAAAAATAGTCAGTGAGGACTGGTCATTGATTGAAGACATCTGCTCCAAGACCTGGCACCTGGGAATTCCATTCCTCCTGGCTGAGATTTTACTTTTGAATGAGGTGGCATGCATGGAATTTTGTACAAGAATGTGGTTTCCAGCAGTGGCTTTGGAGGACTAGCACATTCGCTGCCTTGATACCATTATTGGAAACTGATGTATTCTGTGGGCCAGAAAAAAGATAGATCCTCCGTTTCCACTTGGCTGGGTTAACAGACACAATTTTGAAATCTGTTAGCCAGAGAAACTTGGCTCTAGCCCAACCATCCCATACATGATGATTTATTTCTTTCAGTGTTGTACATTATTATAATAATCCTAAAGAGCCTGGATGAAAATTGAACTTGCTCCCTTTGTTCTTTAAATGTAATATTTGATTACTACAAAATAATATTTGTAACTTCTATGTACGTTATAAAGCAAAATAATAAAATGATCACCTTGAACCACTATCTACCTTAGGAACTAGAATGCTATTTTTCAAATTATGGTGGCAACCTAATTGTAGGTTACAAACTCCAGTTGTCTTTTAATGGACTGGAAAATTAATATTAGAGTGTATGCAAATAGGATAAACAATTGTTTTGTGTTGCTTGCAATCCTATATCTCTACCGTAGATACCATCTTTCTGAATTTTTGTGTTTTTTATTTTCTTGCTCTAAAAATAGTTTTACAACATACATGTGTAGTCTTATCAACTTGTTTTTATATTTATTTTGTTTTGTGTTCTATAAAAAATGGTCAAAAAATGGTATGTGGAATGAAGTCTTCTGTGACTTGCCTTTTTTCTGTCAGTGTTTTTTTTTTTTTAAGATTCATTCTTATTGCTAAATACAATTATAGTTTATTCATTTTCACTACTATATCATATTCTGCTGAATGACTTTTCTACAATTTATTTATCTATGTAGTGTCCATTCCATGGACACTTGACTTGATTTCTACTTTTTAAATTTTTCTACTGTTATAAGCAGTACTGCTGTGAATATTCCTATACATGTCTCCTGGTTGCCTTATCAAGAATTTCTCTAGGGTTATATGTTATGCAAGTGTTCAGTTTTACAAGAAAATGACAGTGTGTTTTCTAGAGTGAGAGTGTATCAGTTTTCACTCTCACCTGTAGAATATAAGAATTCTCAGTTGCTTTACATCCTTACCAACGCTTGGTATTTTTAAGTAAATAATCACCTAAATTTTCTCCATTTGACTCAATGCTTCTTCCAATGTTTAGTTTATTCATTTCCTCTTACTTTTATATTTTTGATTAATAAAAATGTAATTTTAATAAAATACAATGAAAAAATGCATTTAATTTCAATCATTCTTTAACATTACTCATCTGAACCTCAGTTTGATGAGTGGCTTAAACTGCTCCTTTTCTCTTTGTGTGCAGACAGTGCCGGAAAGACACAAATTAAATGGACTTTACTTTAGAGATGGAAGGTGTCGAATTGACTACATTCTTGTGTACAGAAAATCCAACCCCCAGACCGAAAAGAGAGAAGTATTTGAAAGAAATATTAGAGCAGAAGGATTGCAAATGGAGAAAGAGGTAAATAGTTTCTTGGATGAGAAAAAATATATACATCTATTCATATCAAGAGGAAATTTAAAAAAATAAGCAATTAGTCATAGTGTTAACTGAATATTTCATTTAGTCAGAGTTTGCCAATCTTCAGGGTTTGGGGAACGTTCCAGCAATTAGACTTTCATGGTACAATTTGCCTTTGAGATAATTTTAATGCCAACTAGTTCCATGAAAATCAAAATTATATGAAGAAATAAAAGATCCAAATTGCCACATAATCTGAAATAATGAAAGTCCTTCCTCTGATCCATTCTGACTTTTTCAAAATTCTGATTTCCATCAAAACTAGATAGCTTTGTTCAATTCATGAAAGATTTATTATTTAAACTTCATAAGTATTCTCTCCATTCCTAGGGCTTCCTCTGTACAGGTCATTTCATGACTCATTAGTTAAAACTCAAAACACATAATGCTTTTCCAAATAATACACGTTACTAAAACAATGACAAATCCCCCATTATGTAGCCTAAAACGTGATCCATCCTGTAGCATTTACCAACCAGAATTTGGGCATGTAGCTGCGGAGGATTATTCTGCCTTTTGTACAGTTGTGCTGTACATGCAGAATTGACCATGCTGTACTAGATGGACTGCTTGTATGATTTTGTCTGTATATAAAATAATTGTGTTTGTTATATTTTTTAAAAAAATAATAATTAGGTATTTATTTGATGTGTACTAGAAAAAATAGCATTTGGAAAAAGAGTGATGTCACCATATGGCAAAACTTCATAAAAACTTATCTAAGCATCTCTCCCCTCCCCAGTTTCCCCCAAAAGTTCTTTCCTGGGTAGCAGCTTCTGTATTTCTCCTTTTCCCCATAATCCTCTATACACTACTAATAGCAGGTCTTCCTCTTCCTGGAACCTTCTTCCCAAGCAGCCTTTCCTGCTGCCTGGATCTAGTCTTGCCCTGCCTTTGCATAAGTGGCACGATTTGTCTCCAACTCAGCCTTTCAGCTCTGCTTTGTGTCCTCATATTCACAACCTGCTCAGCAAGAGAAGGGGCCTTTTACAGCTTCTCTTGCTTGAAAGGCAACAAGAAAGCACAGATAGATTAATCTTTACCTGCCGCAGATAATTAAAATGCATGTCCCTTGGTTTAATAATAAGCCAACCCATATCTGTGTTGTGCTATTAAATTTAGAAACCATCAGAATCACTCTTATTAAAATCAATATTTTATAAACGGCTACACCAGAAAGATAACAATTTTAACGGGTATTTCAGCTTTCAGGAGTTCCATCAACCTTTTATCAGACATAAAAGAATGAACTTAGTTCAAAGTGGAAAAGAAAACCCCAGGGAGCTTACTAAGAACCTGTGTATGTCTGAAACGATTGACACTGAGTATATCTTATGAATTATTAGTATCTTCTTCATTAGTCATGGGTCATGGTGTCCAACAATTATAAGAAACGTGTTTCACAGGCCAAGGTTTATGTTTCCAAATAGATAAAGATAGGCTCTGTAGTTCAGTCTAACATTCTTATCTCTTTTAACATTGAATTTCAAGAAAAACAACTAGGAGAATCCTTAATTCATGATAAAAGTAAGGACATAGTCAAGTTTACTCTTTCTAAAAAACTTTGCCTCAGCCTGGATAGTCAGCAGGTAAGTGCTTGCTTTGGCGCCCTGGGTATTTAATTTTCTGCTGTTCAGCTTGCATACTAGCCCAGAGAAAGCAATTTATAGCAAAGTTCCCAAATGAATTATTAAATCCAAGTGATTTGCTTTTTAGTATCTACTTACTTAAAGTAAGTTCCTTCTTAAAGGTAAATTCATATTTGTTAATTCACATTTTCTACTTTTGATTTTTTAAATTTTTATTTCTATGTCCATTATTGATCCTCTGGTACCTAGTTTGAAATCATTGTTATCAATAAGAGGTTTATCCTCTCCTTTGTATAACTAGTCAAGTTGTGGATTACTTGGAATGTGTGAGTAGCAGTTGTATTCTTGGGGCACCCTCCCCCTTTAGAATCTTGGGGAACATGGGGAAAGATCCCTGTCATTACAGTCATTACATAATAGCTGTAATTAGATACATCATTCTATCTTGATGATGTTTGATTCATTCAACAAATATTTCATACCCACTCTATGCCAGGCATTGCTTTAAGCACTAGCAACAACTAAAACAGAAAAAAATCCCTGCCTTGTTGGAACTTAAGCACAAAATAAATAAATAACATAAAATATCAGTAAATGCCAAGGACAAAAAATGTGAATCGGGAAATAAAGCAGGGGCTTGCAATTTTATAAAAGCTGTAAAGGCGGATCTCTCTTCCATAGAAAGAGAGCAGCAGGTGCAAAGGCCCTGAAGGAGGAGCATTCCTGGTGTGTTCGCAAACCGTGAGGAGGCCAGTATGACTGGAGTTAATTGATCAAGTTGGAGAATAGTGAGAAATTACACCAACAAGGCAATGGAAGTCAGATAACATCACCCATAGTGGTCACTGGGGAACATTAGCTTTTCTCTGAGTGACATGGGAAGCCACTGGAGAGTTTTGAGCAGAGGTATGACAAGATGTAGTTTTGTTTTATTAATTATCACTCTGGTTGCCTGTTAAGATATGACTGTGGGAGGGGGAGAGGAGGCAAGACCAGAAGCAGGGAGACTAGAATCTGTCCTATAAAATTGTTGTAAGATCCAGGAAAGAGATGACGGTAGCTTGGTCAAGCACATAGCAGAGAAGATATTGAGAAGGGTAGAAAGTAGAACTGATGGGAGTTGCAGACAAATTGAATAAGCAGCATAAAAGAAAAGAGTCACAGACAGGCTATTCATCTGCCAGATGGTATTTATCTAAGCAGTTGCAAGAAAGGAGTTGCCATTTACTGGGATGCAGAGAAGAACAGGTCTCAGGGTAGACTTGTTAAGTTTGAAGTATCCCAGTGGAGATGTTGGGTAAGATAGAAGAGTCTGAACTTCAGGAAGAGATCCAGGCTAGAGATATACATTTGGATGAGATCTCCAAAGGAATAACTGTAGATAAGAAAGAGAAGAGGTCCAAGGATTGAGCCATGGGGCACAACAGTGTTACAAATTTGGAGGATAAAGAGGAACCAGCATAGAGACTAAGAAGGAGCCATTAAGGACAATCTAGAGGGTGTGGTCCTGGAAGAAAGTGTTTAAGGAGAGAAGGAGCAATTCACTGTCTGAAATGCCGCTGATAGGGTGAATAAGATCAATACTGAGAGTTAATCATTGGAGTTAGCAATGTGAAGGGTTTGGGTGAGCTGGGCAAGAGAAGTTTCAGTGGAGAGGTGGAGGCAAAAGCATCATTAAAGCATATTCAAGACAGAATGGGAGGAGAAAATATTTAGACAATGGGCATGAATAGCTCTTTCAAGGAGTTTCACTTTAAAGGAATGGAGAGAAGTGGAGTGATAACTGGAGTATGAAGTTGTGTCAAGAAAGAGTTCTTTTTATTTAAGATGGGAGAAATAGCTGCATGTTTTCATGCTAATAAAAATTATCCATTTGAGAGGGAAAATTGATGTTGGGAAAGAATGAAGGAAGAATTTTGGGAGCGATGTCCTTGAAACAATAAAGAAAAGAATGACCACAGCTTCGCCCATTGTGTGGACCGACCTACCTGTATCTGCACCCACAGGGGCTACCTTCCTCCGGTGCCAAGGATATCCTGTCTGTATTCCTTCACTTTGTGCCCAAGATTCCATCCCCTCAAATGCATTCCATCCCCACTCAAATGCATTGCCCCCCCAAAATAAGATATACTAAGCTTTAAAAACTGAAATGTACAAAACAATGCAATTTGTTGAAACAGTTTGTTCTTGTTTTTATTCACCTCTCAGTTGAAAAATCTAACTGCAATAAACACGTGCACGCACACATCATGCACTCAAGTTTGGGTATCTGACATTTTTCTTTAAGATGACAGAAATAGTATTATTAAAATTTTGTGCTCATATTTATTAGCCACTTACTATTATATCCATTTTACAGATGAGACAATTGAGGCAAAGCAGTAACTTTCCCCAGATGACTTAGCTAATACGAGACAAAGTCAGGATTAAAACTAAGTATATTTGTTCTTTTCCTTTATATTGTGTTAATTCTTGATGTCTAAAGTGAATCTCCAGGTTAAAGATGTTAGGAGATAGGCTGAGAGGACAGGTAGAGTTATGGAAAGGAAAAGATAAAGGAACTATGGAAATTGGGGAGAATAATGAAGGTGAGTGCTGCCCAGACTGTGGTTCCTATGCACTTTGGCTTCCAGTAGCCATGGATTTGAATGTTGGTACAAGCACTTAAAAGTTGAGTGATTTTCAGCAATTTACCAAACTTTTCTGGATCTCAGTTTCCATTTTTAATAATGAGGATAATGTCATTTACCCTGAATCATTGTGAGGATTAGGTGAGCACGTACATATGAATACATAGTAGTGTAAGCCTTTGTTTATTCCTTTTTCTTTTTACTTAAATTTTTATTTCATAATGTTGTTTTGCTTTCAGTGTATTTATTCAGTTACCTTATATTTATGTCAAATGATATTAATTTTCCACTTACGACTGATATATAAGTTTTGGAAAAGAAATAATTATTTTAAAAAGAGGGTTGATTTAAAGAAATACATGAAATTAAAATATTGTAGGTGATATTACAAATTTTGGCAAAAATTATAAAGGTGGCACAAGAGAGATGGCAGTCTGTGTTACTTGGCTGGTCCTCATGGTAGACAGACCCTAAGGTTTATGATGCCCCCATCCTTTTTATACCTTTGTATAATCCCCTCCCCTTGAGTTCAGGTGGGACCTGTGGCTTGTATTTAACCTACAGAATATGAAGTTTGCCATAATAGATTATGGCAAATGTCATGGAAGTTCACTCCTGTGATTATGTTTTGGTATGTCAGACCCCATCCCAGCAGACTGAAGTTAAAGCAACCCTCCCTTGCTGGCTTTGAAGAAGTAAGCTCTACCATGTTGTGAGGCAG